GCACGGAAGTGATATTTTCAGGTGCATTTATTAATACTTCAGACAATCACACATAATTAGACAATGACAGATACACGAAATTCATTAAGCAAGGTTTTTTTAGCAGAAATTATTGCTTGAAAGCAAAATCAAATGAAGAGCTTAGCAAATGAAGCACGGAAGTGATATTTTCAGGTGTATTCATTAATATCTTGACAATCACACATAATTAGACAATCATACGTACACAAAATTCATTAAGCAAGATTTTTTTAGAAGAAATTATTGCTTGAAAGCAAAATCAAATGAAGAGCTCAGTAGATGAAGCATGGAAGTGATATTTTCTGGTGCATTTATTAATCAGGGAAAATATCGATATGAATCTAGGATATATTTAATATTACAGAGTTGTTTTTGCTCTCACTTTAATTTAAACATAATTAATGCTCATTAGTTTTAAGTAAAATTGAATGATTTTTATTTCAAATTAGGTAGTGGTAAATAAAACAAGGTAACGAATTTTTACCCCTCTTCTAATAAGACTATAATAAAATACAGTAAACCGTGGCGAGTCTACCCATCCAGGGGCGAGTCTACCCATTTTAGTTTTATTTAATTTTCACTATTTTAAATTGCAAATAAAAAAATTTTTACCAATGGAGGACTTAGTTCAGACTCTAAGGAAGATGGCGCTGTAGTAGTTTGATCCGTTTTTATTTATTTGGTGTCTTTTTAACCGACCTGTTCAAACGTCTTTTGAGAGATTTGTATTGAAAATCAGCAAACTTTTAGTTGGTGCTCCGTAAGTATATTATTATTATTACTATTTTCACTTTGGTTAAGTGATAAACTTATCTAAGACTAAGATTACATTAATTTTATATGAAAAAAAAACAAAAAGAATGTAAGTTTTGCTGTTGTAAACAAAAAGCCAGAATTCGCGGGGCGAGTCTACCCATTCGTATTTAGTTTTAATAAAGCATAATAATATAATTTAGAACTTTGTTTATATTAAAATTAAGTCATTTTAAATGAACTTGAGTATATTATTTTAATTCTGCATTGATAAATTTATCATTAATAAGAAAATTTATAGGTTAAATATAAATGTAAATATAAAATATGTTTATTTTACCTATTTTTTCAATTTTTATATTACAAAATTAACTTTTTTTATTTAATGCAAGTTAAATAAATTATTATTTATAAATTATTATTACCTCCCAAAAGAATGGGAAAAGGATTTTTCATGATTCCCAATGTTTGAATTTCGATTTTGTTAATAATCTTTAATTATTATTATTTATTAATTATTTAATTGTAAATTTATATTAATTTTAATTTATTTTTATCAACAATAATCAGAAAAAAATGTTATTTTATAATGTTAATGATTATAAAAACAAAACTGTGATCAAAATGTGATAATCGATCAAATACTCAATTTGTGTTATTTTATGAATAAAAAAATGGAATATATAATAAAGTTATGAATTTTACTTCATAAATATCCTATATAGTAACTAAAATAACAATTTAATAGTAAAATTTGATTATTTACAATGTTAGCATTCATTTTAGTAGAATGGGTAGACTTGCTCCATACGAGAGATTTGTCAGCAGTTCTATAAAAATATACAGTAACAGCGTAACTGTTAATATTTTCTAAAATCGATTTCACAGCTTTAAAGAGGGATAAATAGCGATTCCGAAACATCTATTAAAAGGCTTTTTTCTTCAATATTTATAAAAGTTTGACCACTTGAAAGTTGACAAACTGAAAAAATGGGTAGACTCGCCCCGGTTTACGGTAATAGTTCCCTTTACTACTTTTTTCTTCGTACTCTGATTAACGCTACTCTGAAAATATCATCTTGTTCATACACTCGGCTCATCACTTATTCAAGGATGCCACAGGCTACCAAAAATGCAGAAGGTGAGAAATTAATTAATAGCAAAAACCTATTAACACGTTGACTGCCACACGCGTTTACAGTGAAATCTCCTTCAGGCCTCGAGTACCGTTGTACGAATGGTACTCTGGTGAGTACTCCCACCGATATATTAATAATGTGAGTGTCTAATGATCACAAGAATAATATCTCGCTCCATTTGTTTCCATGGTATCATATCTGTTTGTTTATGTCTGTTTATTTTGATATAAAGGGGGAGGTCAATTCTTATATACTAATTAAATTGTTTACTAATATTTTTTTAACATATTGAGCAGTTTTGTCCCATTAAATTTCGAACGTTTATCCTCATTTTAAGTGATACATTAGCTAATTTAGACGTATTCTTTTTCAAATTCTTTTTAAAAAGAAGTTGTTTTTCTCTAAGATGATGTAAAGATTTTAAGACATTTCATAGTAAATATTATTGAAATAAAAGTGTCATTAATGGGCTAAAGTTTGGAATATTAAATGCCCCAATGCAAAAGGTTTTTTTTAAAACTTTTTTAAATTATTCAAAAATATTTAATATAAGATATTGTTAAAATAAAAGTGACTTTAATGGGTTAAATTTCGGATTCTTAAGTGCTCCAATGCAAAAAAATTTTTTAAAAATTATTATGAAATATTTAATACAAAATATTGTTGAAATAAAAGTGACATTAATGGGTTAAAAATTGGATTCTTAAATGCACCAATGTAAAAAGACTTTTGTGAAATTTTTCCGATAATTTAAAATATTTAATACAAAATATTGTTAAAATAAAAGTGACATTAATGGGTTAAAGTTAGAATTCTTAAGTGCACCAATTCAAAATATTTTTCTGAAATGTTTTAAAATATTTTGAAATATTTAATATAAAATATTGTTAAAATATAAGTGACATTAATGGGGTAAACTTCGAATTTTTAAGAGCACCAATGCAAAAGACATTGTATTTTTATTACTTATAAAGCTTTTATTACACACTTATAGGAAATTATGTTCGTAATAGTTCCCGGCCACCATTTTTACATATAAATACAGAAATATTACATTTAATAATATAAAAATGTTTAATCAAATGAAAACAAAACGTATTTTAGAGAAATGTAATTTATTTTTCAAAAAAATGTATACATATATACAACAACAAAGTTGACAAAAACACCAGAATCAAAAGTAAATAACAAATACAAATCAATAAGAATATACAGGGTGTTCCATAAATAGCACTTTTATTTACGTATTTTAATATTCTTTGTCAAAATTGAAATTAAAAAATTTACTCTTAATGAGTCGCAAATTAAGCAAAGAAAATGCTATTTTATCACCTTCTAACGAACACTACTAAGGAAGTTGGGATTAAAAGCATCAAAACCTCTTTGATAGACGGGAAAGGTGTAAAAAAGTTGAAGATCTTAATTATACACACTTTTAATTTCCTCCGACGATTAAACTAGTTTTAAAGTTTTAAGTTCTCATTAGCTATACATCAGAATTTTTTTACTCTTTTAATTTTTTTAAAATCAATTTGTGACCCATATTGTGCATATATTTTAGGCAAGATTTAAAAAAATATATGTTAAAGGTGGTGATTGCACAACACTCTCTGTATGACTACCACCAGCAGCACTAAAAAACTTAACTTTCTAATTAGTGTTGTTAGTTTGTAAACATTTTGTATGATGATTTGTAACATGCATACAATCATAAATACAAAGTACAACAATTGAATTCGGTTTGTGTTAAATTATAGCAATAGAATTTAAACAGTATAATTAAAAATAATGTATAAGTACATAAATGTAACGTCTAGAATAAACAAATAAGATAGTTAGAATAATCATCAATAATTCTCAAATACATCACAAGATAGCGAGTGAGCAATACAATAATTTCATTCACAATATGCTGCTGCTTTATTGAGTTTATAGAAAGTATACAAACTCATTAATGCTCATTTAATCAAAATTCGTTAAGTTAAAATACACATATTACAAACAAAAACAGCACTCTAAACTCATGACTGTACAGTAATAGCAAAATTTTGTTACAATATATATTTTATTTACAATACATTTTTCACGTATTACATAAAATAAATGTCTAGATTCTATGCATTGACAATAAATTCTTGACGCGCAGTTTAAGATATTTAAATTTGCTCAAAAATTTATATAATTTGAAACAATACTTCAAGTAATAAAATATTTAATACGTGGCTATATAGGGGTGTACAAATACTATTGCCAGTACACCAATAAAAAAAACTGTTCATCGTAGAAACATTGCTTATATTTTTGCATAAAGTTTCCCTGGCAGTCAAAGAGTTAAAATGAAACTTATTGATAAAAATAAAATAAATCGAATAAAAGTAAGATGGATATACTATAATAATAAAATAATAATATAAATTATCAATAGCTATATTCAACGTAAGATAAATTTACAATAATTATAAAAAAAAATACTTAGCTGTCAATCTTTATGCTTTTCGTGAAAGATTTATCATTACAATTATCATTTACATTATTATGTAAATCAGTTTAAATTTGTCTAATGCAAAATAACATTTCCCCCGTGATAATCAGTTTTCTTCGATACATGCATTAATTATTACTATATTTTGGCTATCACACTCATTTAAAAATTCCATATATTAATGCGTAATTTTAACTTAGAACTAGACAATCAAATCTTTAACAAAAGGTGTAAAAATTGGCAGCGATTAAAATATGATAAATTTACAATAATCATAATGATAATAAGAAGAAAAAATTACAACAATCATCATAATCGATGAATTTATAGTAATTGCAACAAAAACAAGATGAAATTGCACTGATCAAAATAATAATTAGATAAAGATAAAATAATCATAATATTAATAAGATAAAGTTATAATAATTATCGTTAAAATACGTAAGTATATGAATAGTAAACTCATAAAAATTCATATTTGCTTATGTTTTAAGCACTAAAGATAAAAGTATATGTAGAAGTAAGTGTTGTTAGCAGTTATTTACTTTTGATCATAATTATGGTACATAAATTACACGTAATTGATAAATCTAATTATTGCGAACAGCACTTTAAATAAATCAGACAATTTATCAAAAGTGCTTAATAATGATAACCAAATGATTTTGAATAGTGTCCAATTCCATGAAGATCAAGACCATGGTCATCGTAATGGTGTCCCAAGTCAGCAACCACATGTTTTACAATAGGAACTTTCTTCACTACTTCGATGTGCTTCACAACTGGAACATGCTTAACGACTGGGACGTGCTTAATAACTGGCACGTGCTTAACAATTTGGACGTGCTTAACAACTGGCACTTTCTTTACAATTGTAGCATGCTCTACGACAGGGTAAATCACTTGGTGATGGTGACCTGGTGATAGATGGTGACCTGATGATAGATGGTGACTGTCAAGAAGGAGGTGACTATGATCATCTAAACCATGATATTCGTGATATCCCTTAATTACACCACCAGATGTAACGACAGCCAAAGCGGCAACAGTAAGTGCTAAAATCTATAAGAAAAATGCCACAAAATTATTTATTTTAAAAATTCAAAATTTGAAAGTCAGACATAAATGACAACTATTTAATTTAAATTTTATTTTAAATTTTTCATACATTTACACTGATTTATCAACATTGGCATTGAACAAAAAAAATAACATAGATGGTTTCAAGTCCGATGCTGAACTAGATTACTCAACTATTATCATTCTATCAATTACTGTATTATGGTTGTTAATAGAAATTTATTCAGTTATTTATACTAGTTTATTTTGGGGCGAAATGAATTCTTACTTGTCACTGAAGATTATAATCATTGATATATAATCTGTATACGGGTAAATGAACAACTTCAACCAATGGAAAATGTGAAATTTGACAGAAGCTATATATTTCATTTTTAAACATTTATTTGGCTGGTGTGGATTACATAGCAGTATGATACTACGCAGAATCACAAATCGTTCGATTACAAAAGAAATCTCATCATTTTAAAGAAAAAAATTTAATTTTTTGTGTGGAAATTTTACTCTCCTTCAATCATTAACATATGTAAAAATAAAAGCTCTTAATCTGCCTAAATGAATGTATTGAAAGCAATTTGTTTCCTTTTACAATCTACTTTAACGTGTTTCGATTTGTTTATTTATTTTGTGCCTCAGTGTAGTGATCTTTAATTCATGCTTCCCAGTATAACGCCGAAGTCAAGCACAACTGGCTGAGGTCAATAAACGGGGTGGGTGACCACTTTGATCAGCAAGTGTAGAGATTGAAGATGCGCGGTACTGGTCTAAACATATGCGGTTATATATATTTAATTGTTAGCTTTATTATTATCAAACATTAGTTATATCAGAATTGGTTTACTATACGTTTAATGCAGGCTTCGAAATAAATTATAATGAAAGCTTCTGCCTCCACAATTATTTGTTTATTTTGAAAAAAGGAGACCTATTATAAAAAAAATATATCAAATTTTTATGGGGTTTAAATCGCTTTTTACCTCATTAAACAATAAAACAAACACCGCCAACGGGGGGACATGAACCACCAATCTTTCCGTAACTCCGTACGCGCTAGCTGATTGCGCCACGGAGGATTCACACCTCGTTTAAAATCTAAATCAATGTATATATAATTGTTAGCTATGTTATTATCAATTATTATTTATATCAGGTTAGATTTACTACATTTTAAGCCGGCATCGAAATAAATTATAATAAAAGTTTCTGAATCCATAACAAACAAAAATGAACGCCTTTTTTTAGAAAAAAAAAGGAAGTAAATTTTCATAGGGTTTAAATCGCTATTCACCTCATTGAACAACAAAACAATCACCGCCCCCTGGTGGGCTCGAACCACCAACCTTTCGGTTAACAGCCGAACGCGCTAGCCAATTGCGCCATGGAGGCTACACTCTTCGCATAAAATCTGCATGAATGTTTTTTTAATTCTTAGCTTTATTATTATGAATTATTACTTAAACCAGGTTTGGTTTACAAAATTTAGTCTGTTTTCGAAATAAATTATAATATTGGCTTCTGCCTCCGCAATAATTAGTTTATTTTGAAAAACTAAGCCATTTTTTTCGAAAAAAAGATTGCAAACTTTCATGTGGTTTAAATCGCTGTTTACATCATTGAACAACAAAACAATCACCGCCCCCTGGTGGGCTCGAACCACCAACCTTTCGGATAACAGCCGAACGCGCAAGCCAATTGCGCAACGGAGGCTACACTCTTCGCATGAAATCTGCATGAATGTTTTTTTTAATTCTTAGCTTTATTATTATGAATTATTACTTATGCCAGGTTTGGTTTACAAAATTTCAGTCTGTCTTCGAAATAAATTATAATATTGGCTTCTGCCTCCGCAATAATTAGTTTATTATGAAAAACTAAGCCATTCTTTCGAAAAAATGATAGCACAGTTCCATGTGGTTTAAATCGTTATTTACATCATTGAACAACAAAACAATCACCGCCCTCGGGTGGGCTCGAACCACCAACCTTTCGGTTAACAGCCGAACGCGCTAGCCAATTGCGCCACGGAGGCTACACTCTTCGCATAAAATCTGCAGGAATGTTTTTTTAATTCTTAGATTTATTATTATGAATTATTACTTAAACCAGGTTTGGTTTACAAAATTTCAGTCTGTTTTCGAAATAAATTATAATATTGGCTTCTGCCTTCTCAATAATTAGTTCATTTTGAAAAACTAAGCCATTTTTTCGAAAAAATGATAGCAAAGTTTCATGTGGATTAAATCGCTATTTACATCATTGAATAACAAACCAATCAACGCCCCCGGGTGGGCTCGAACCACCAACCTTTCGGTTAACAGCCGAACGCGCTAGCCAATTGCGCCACGGAGGCTACATTCTTCGCATAAAATCTGCATGAATGTCTTTTTAATTCCTAGCTTTATTATTATGAATGATTACTTATGCCAGGTTTGGTTTACAAAATTTCAGTCTGTCTTCGAAATAAATTATAATATTGGCTTCTGCCTCCGCAATAATTAGTTTATTTTGAAAAACTAAGCCATTTTTTTGAAAAAATGATAGCAAAGTTTCATGTGGTTTAAATCGCTATTTACATCATTGAACAACAAAACAATCATCGCCCCCGGGAGGGTTCGAACCACCAACCTTTCGGTTAACAGCCGAACGCGGTAGCCAATTGCGCCACGGAGGCTACACTCCTCGCATAAAATCTGCATGAATGTCTTTTAATTCTTAGCTTTATTATTATGAATTATTACTTTAACCAGGTTTGGTTTACAAAATTTCAGTCTGTCTTCGAAATAAAATATAATATTGGCTTCTTCCTCCGCAATAATTAGTTTATTTTGAAAAACTAAGCCATTTTTTCGAAAAAATGATAACAAAGTTTCATGTGGTTTAAATCGCTATTTACATCATTGAACAACAAAACAATCACCGCCCCCGGGTGGGCTCGAACCACCAACCTTTCGGTTAACAGCCGAACGCGCTAGCCAATTGCGCCACGGAGGCTACATTCTTCGCATAAAATCTGCATGAATGTCTTTTTAATTCCTAGCTTTATTATTATGAATGATTACTTATGCCAGGTTTGGTTTACAAAATTTCAGTCTGTCTTCGAAATAAATTATAATATTGGCTTCTGCCTCCGCAATAATTAGTTTATTTTGAAAAACTAAGCCATTTTTTCGAAAAAATGATAACAAAGTTTCATGTGGTTTAAATCGCTATTTACATCATTGAACAACAAAACAATCACCGCCCCCGGCTGGGCTCGAACCACCAACCTTTCGGTTAACAGCCGAACGCGCTAGCCAATTGCGCCACGGAGGCTACATTCTTCGCATAAAATTTGCATGAATGTCTTTTTAATTCCTAGCTTTATTATTATGAATGATTACTTATGCCAGGTTTGGTTTACAAAATTTCAGTCTGTCTTCGAAATAAATTATAATATTGGCTTCTGCCTCCGCAATAATTAGTTTATTTTGAAAAACTAAGCCATTTTTTTGAAAAAATGATAGCAAAGTTTCATGTGGTTTAAATCGCTATTTACATCATTGAACAACAAAACAATCACCGCCCCCGGGTGGGCTCGAACCACCAACCTTTCGGTTAACAGCCGAACGCGCTAGCCAATTGCGCCACGGAGGCTACATTATTCGCATAAAATCTGCATGAATGTTTTTTTAATTCTTAGCTTTATTATTATGAATTATTACTTAAACCATGTTTGGTTTACAAAATTTCAGTCTGTCTTCGAAATAAATTATAATATTGGCTTCTGCCTTCTCAATAATTAGTTTATTATGAAAAACTAAGCCATTTTTTCGAAAAAATGATAGCAAAGTTTCATGTGGTTTAAATCGCTATTTACATCATTGAATAACAAAACAATCACCGCCCCCGGGTGGGCTCGAACCACCAACCTTTCGGTTAACAGCCGAACGCGCTAGCCAATTGCGCCACGGAGGCTTCGCTACTCGCGTAAAATCTACGTGAATGCTTTTTTAATTGTTAGCTTTATTATTATCAATTATTACTTAAATCAGAAAAGCGTATTTCTTTTTTTTTCATTTAATTGTTGTCTATGTCTTTTAATTCATTAATATCATATTAGCTAAAAGGTTAGTTTAATTTCGTTTGATTAATTCTAAAATATAAGTTTTTAAATAAATAACAAATGTAAGTAAATCTTACTTATAACTGTCAGAAAGCCGGTTTTTTTTTTAAAAATTTTTTTTTGGAATTTTAGATTATTCTGTTACAGTTAAGAAATTTTAACTTGCTTAATTTTTTTATTAATATATTTTTAAAGATATGAAGTTGGTAGAAATTATTTCCTTAAATATATTATTACTTCAAACTTATTGAAAATTTGTATATTTTTTTATAATTTCTTTTTTATATTTTTATAATATTTTATATTTTTTCTTTTAGTTGAAATTGATTAAATGTTAAACAAAGATTTTTTTTTTCTCTTTTACTGGAATTTTTTTTCACGGCGAATTACAATATATTCATACTAAGTTCTGAATTTTAAAAAAGCTGTTTTGTAATATGCAATTCTGCTAAATATTTAAATTTAATTTTTTTGGAAAGTGATTTCTTAAATTTAACCTAATTGAAAATTTGCAAAGTTTTTTTCGATAAAATTGTCTAAACTTTAAACAAGGAATTTTTTTCTCTTTGACTTGAATTTATTTAAAAATGTCTAATTACAATTTATTTTAATAATGGTGTGAATTTTACCAAATTTATTTTTGAATATATAACTTTGCCAAATGTTTAAATATATTTTTTTCTCAAAATGTTCCCTTTTATGCCTAATAATTTCTTTCTTACAGAAGACATGTTCAAAATTTTATTAAGATCGGTTCTTAGTTTTTGAGAAATCTCGCTACTTGAAAGGGCAGGGCTCAGGTTCTTCCGATAGATGGTTTTTCCGCTTCGAGTTCATGAATATGTTTTTATAAATTACTAATTTATAAATTATAAATTTATTTTAACAACTAATTTGAAAAATACTGATTTTCAAAAACTACTTTCAAACATACTAATTACACAAATATCCTGCAAGAATTATTATGGTTTAAAGTCTAAGATGTTAATAACTTTATCAAAAAACAATCTATTATCGTTGAACCATAATATTGATCTTGATCCACAATACTGCAACCGTAATAAGAGGAACACAGTATTATAATATAACCTTATTTTGTAATAAGAGGACCATAGTATAACCGGAGTATCGTTTAATTAAATTTTAATTAAAGCACAATAATATGGTTTAATTTAGAACCCTTTTAATTCACCAATGCTTGGCTGGATATGAGGTAAATATTTGAAAAAATATAAAGAAAAATGGCATTTGCAGGGCATCAAGTGGTTCCTCAAAATTGTTTTGGTGGTAGCTAACTTATCTGAACAGTGAAAATTTACCTGACTCAGCTACCACTTAAATGCTATAAGCTTTCAACGCATCCATAACATATCTTTATATTGGTGTTTGAGTTATCGAATTATTTTAAATTTTATAACCGTCGTTGAACAGTCAATCTAATTTTTGAGTTTGCAACTTCCAACGCTCAAATTTATGGCCTTATAATTTTGAACCAAATCCAGAAGACAAGAGAACCTCTTGATCAAGTATTGGGAGAAATTTGATGGAACTAACCAGCACTTGCGTTACATGGAGAGGAAAACCACGAAATTCTCTCACGATTAGCCTGAGGGCAAGGGATTCTAACACATGATCCGTCTACCACTGATGATATTTTACGTCAGGACTGTGGTCGGTGCAAGCCGTGAGCGGAATTCGTTTCGATCAGTCATCGCTGGGATTCGAATCCGGGTTATCTAATTGGGAGGCAAGCGGTCGTAATCAAGAATGATTCATGTTAACTTTTTAAAAGCATGAAATACATTTTACCACTATAATAATTTTGAGGGATCACATCGCGCCCTGCATTTATATGTAGTGGATAATTCTGCCTATTACCTATCATTTCAGCTTTAAAGAAGCAGTACGCTTTTAATGCAATTATAAATATAAATATTAATACATGATGATAGATAGAATTATCTTGTTTTTGAAAAATAAATCCTAATAATGAAGCAGTTGCGCTACCATCTCTTTCTTTTTTGAAAATGAAACCGTCGTTTTAAAAAGACGTAAAACACAAATGCATAGCTACGAACTTTTACGCCTTTTACGTAGAATTTTATTGTTATACTTAAAATGGAAGTAAAATTTACAATTTCTTTTTATTTCTTGAACTTATAAATTTAGTTTAAAATGATTTTCAACACCGCTGCTTACAAATAAATTAAACATTGGGTAAGTCTAGGATAGATAGTCATCGTTGATTCAAATCGAAAAAAAAGTACTAAGAATAGAGATACAAAAAATGTTTATGCATATTTTAAATTCTCATACATGCATATGTATGAGAATAGAGTATAGGATAGATGGCCATCGTTGTTTCAAATCGTAAAAAAGTACTGAGAATAGAGATACAAAAAATGTTTATGCATATTTTATATTCTCATACATGTGCTCAATATGTTTTGTGCAAAAAATAATGAGCTATTGTAAACAAAACATGAAAAACGTTGTTTGACAATAAATTTACATGTGGCCATCTTTCCTTAATATCAAGGATAGTTGGTCATCCAATTCAGTTAAAGAAAAGTAATCTTAAAATATGAAAAAAATGCTCCTTTCATACAGTTTATCATAAATAACTTACGATCAGTTACAGAATTTTAAAAGAAATATGCCACCGAAAGCAATTTGTCTACACAATCAATATTAAAATAGAATAGAGAATATTTTTTTTTAAAAAAAAACTGCCTGCTCGTTTATTTATTGAATTTGAAGCTGACTTAGCATTAAGTTATTTTTCAATAACTATTATCTGCTCTTTTCGTAAAAATTAAAAAAAAGACAATTCAAATATTTTAAGCAAAAACAATTTGTTCATATCATCACTATGAACAAAAGTAGAACTGTTATTCGAATTGAAAGCAATTTATTTACATGCTCAATATCAAGTTAAAATAAAGACTTTTCAATGTGTAAAAACGTTTTATTCATTTATTCACAATTAAAATGGAATCATGTGCAAATTCAATCGGAAGTAAGACTAATTTTTTTTAACTAAAAATAAAATTGAATTAAACACCTTTAAACGAAAGCAACTCTCTCATACAATGTTAAAAAATTAACTAAATGTGATTCTGAATTAGTTCAATTTCTTAAGAAGCGTTTACTTAAAATATTTCAATCAAGACCAATTTCTTTATGCGATAAACATTAAAGAAAGGAAATAAAACCCTTCAGTCGGCAGCAATTGTATTTTTTTTTATATCATCAGCCTTAGAAAAAGTATTAAATATTTTCAATCGTTCCAAAGCAATTGTATTTTTTCAGACATCTAGCATTAAAAAGAAATCAAATCTTTGAATCATAAGCAATTGAAGTTTTTCATATGATCAACATTAAAATATATAATGAAAACTTTTCGATCGGAAGTTATTGCACTGGTTCCCACGTTCAGCATTAAGAAAATGAATTAAAATCTTTCAATCATAAGCAATTGTGTGTTTTTTATACTATCAACATTAAAAATTGAACCTTTGAATCGTTCAGAAGCAATAGTATTTCTTCAGACTCTGCATTAAACAAGGAATTAAAATCTTTGAATCAGAAGCTATGGAAATTTTTCTTATAATCATCATTAAAAAATGGAATGAAAAATTTTCTGGCGGAAACTATTATATTTGCTATTATGATCAGCATTAAAGAAAGGCATTAAAATCTTTCAATCAAAAGCTATTACGATTTTTCATATTATCAACATTAAAAAGAAGAAATAAATCCTTACAGTCGCCCCCAAGCAATAGTATTTTTTAGAGACTTAGCAATAAGAAAAGAATTAAAACCTTTAAATCAGATGCCATGGAATTTTTTTTATATGATCAGCATTAAATTTCGGAATTAAAATTTTTTTGAATGGAAGCTATTGTATTTGTTCCTAAGATCAGCATTAAAAAAAGGAATTTAAAAATATTTCGATTAAAAGTAATTGTGTTTCTTATATTATCAACATAAAAAAATTTATTAAGTGTTTCCAATCTCTCCAAAGAATAGTATTTGTTCATACACTTAGCACTAAGAAAGGAATTAAAATCTTTGAATCATAAGCTATCGACATTTTTCATATAATCAGCATTAAAAAATGGAATTGAAATCTTTCAAATTGGAAGCATGCATTTGTTCCGACGATCAGCATTAAAAAAAGGAATTAAAACAGGAAAGAATTCGGAAGGAATTGTATTTACTTTACGATTAGCATTTATAAAGGAATTTAAAATCTTTCGATTAGCATTTAATAAAGGAATTTAAAATCTTTCGATTAAAAGCAATTATGTTTTCTTATATTATCAACATACAAAAAGAAAAAAGAAGATCCAATGTCTCCAAAGCAATAGTATTTGTTCATACACTTAGCACTAAAAAAGGAATTAAAACCTTTGAATCATAAGCTATCGACATTTTTCATATAATCAGCATTAAAAAATGGAATTAAAATCTTTTAAATTGGAAGCTTGCATTTGCTCCAACGATCAACATTAAAAAAGGAATTAAAACCTTATATTCGGAAGCAATTGTATTTACTTTACAATCAGCAGTTAATAAAAGAATTAAAATCTTTCAATCGGAAGTCACTTGTTATCATGATCAGTATCAAAACAGAATATAGATTCATTTAATGAAAACTTCTCTCAGCCTATCTGTTCAAAATCAAAATAGAATTTAGTCCTTTCTCAATCAGAAGTAAAACCAATTTTCTTTTAATATTAAAAATGGAATTAAACACCTTTGGGCTTGCATTTGTTCCGACGATCAGCATTAAAAAAAAGGAATTAAAACCTTTTACTCGGGAGGAGTTGTATTTACTTTACGATCAGCATTTAATAAAGGAATAAAAGTTTTTTAATCGGAAGCTATTTGTTAATATGATCCGTATCAAAACCGAATATAGATTTATTCAATGAGTACTTCTCTCAGCTGATTTGTTCAAAATCAAAATGGAATTTAGTCCTTTCTCAGTCAGAAGTGAAATAAATTTTCTTTTAATATTAAAAATGGAATTAAACTCCTATAAGAAAAAACAACTCGTACATAAAATCAATATTAAAAAAAAAGGAATTAAAATACAGAGCTAATTCAATTTGTTGGTTTGATCTTTATTAAAACATAGTAATGGGAAACACTTTGTACTCACCATGGCGTTCATGATGGCTTGAATCAATTGGAATTCTTGCTCAATAGTTTTTCAAGGTATATATAGTAGAAGAAAATAACATGCAATAAGGTTTAGCCCTTGAAACCATATTTATCGGAAGGGTGTCTTTTTAGCCATCGGCACTTAAAAAAATAAAAAATTCTTCTGTTTGCTCTAGTTTAAGACCTCGCTAAGAACACTTAAAAAACAAGTTTAGCTGTAAATTAATAAAGCCTACGGGCATCATCCCTTTTGTCCTACATCCACAAGTATTACACAAATATCTTAAAAACAAAAACCCACCCAGATCATTAGTTGGGGGAAAGGTTTATTGATTTTATTTTTTCTTCATCGATAACAATTTAAGATAAGTGATTAAAAAGTAAGAGTTACGCCTTTCTTCAGTTTTAGAAATGAGTTTCGGAACAAAAAAAAAGAAAATTCTAATTGACAATCACAATTCTTAAGATTGTTATCACTTCCGAACTATATAGAGGAAACATAGGAGACGTTAATCTATCTCACTTTCAAAGCGTTTTCTTTTATTAATTCTTTTGTAGAGAAAAACACACAGGGAATAAAGGTACAAAAGGTCTATGTTCGGGTTTATTGTGATTGAATTTTAATAATAATCAATATGGAATTGATTATTTGTTGAGGAGGAAAATCATTGAAAGGGTTATTATGTTAATATTATCGATTCTTCAGGCATTATCTCACGTTTGTTAGTGAATGAATAGTATGTTATATGAATTCCTTGTAACTTACAGCATTTAAATATTTGTAGTTCACGTAATCAAAGTGAACTACGTTAATTTTTTTTGGGCACAGCAAGTGCTTAAATACAAATTACTAAAATGATTTTTAAAATAAATAGTTTTTTAGTGAAATATTTTTTTAAAAACTTATAATGGTTATACATAAAAAAACTTATAATCTAAAAACGTTGTCATTGGTTTTCGGTTTATTGGTTTCATATTGTTTTTCGAACTAATTTTCAAAAAAATATGTTTCTAAAATATTTACATAATTGAGATTTAAATCTCCAGGTTGCCATTGGTTAGCTGAAAAATCCGTCGTTTTACTCATGTTGCCTTTGAAATTCACCAGTATTATTGAAAAAGTTTCCAGTGTTTTCAAATCATCCTGGAATTTTTAAGACTTATTATAATAAATCCATTTATCTGTAGGCTAAATCGAAAATCTTCGATGATTTTCTCATTCAAACTGAATTTTCTTAGGCTTATTGCAATGCACTATTAATAAGGCTATTTACAATAAGCCTTTACTGATCTGAGCTAGCTTTAAATTGCCTGAAATAAATCCGACAAATTGAGCAACGAATCTTGTATTTTAATTAGCTAAAAGTCAGCGAACTCTCTGCAATAATAAGCCTTAAAAGTGTCAGAGAAATTAAAAAATACTAGAGACTTTCCAAATTAGTTTTGTGCATTGCAAACTGCTTGAATATGTTTTCAAAAATAGCTACTTTTCAATTAGAGTGTAACTAAGTCGCGATTATTCAGGGGATTGTGCTCTCACTTCCAAATGAGGCGACCCAGGTTCGAATCCCAGCGAAGACAAGAGATACGAATTCTCGCTCCGACCACAGCGCCGACGTAAAATGTCCTTAGTGGTAGACAGACCATGGGTTCCAATTACGTTGCTGAAGGAATTACCGATTCGATTTTTGTGTTCTCCACATGTTGGAAATGCGGATTAGTTCCATCAAAAAAGGTACTTCACGAAAGCTAGTTTGTCCCAATGTTTAATCCATAAGAATTAAGTTCCTTTGTCTTCTACATTGGGTTTAAAATTAAAAGGCTACGAAGGATTTTCTTCAAAAGAGAATCATTATCCACTATAAATGTGAGAGCCACTCTGCTCATTCAGTTAATGTATACATATTTTATTCTATCTGGCTCTTTTTAGATTTTGTCTAGTTCAAAATTTTCTTATGTCAAAAATTTTTTAGTTCAAAATTTTCTTAATTACATTTTCTTAATATCTAAGAATGACTAGCAGAATTTTCCATTTAGTGCTACCTTCTAGTAAAAATTCAGAAAACTTGTAAAGTACTTATCTGGAAACAACGCTAAGAAACAGTTTGGAGTCAAAATATCAACTTTGGAAAAAATAATGACTTAATTGCAATTATATTTCCCCAAACTTTTAAATTGTTACTTTGCTGCTCATTGAAAAATTATTCTCCAAATAGCGCTATGGCTATAAATATAATAATAATTTATAAATAGCACTGTGTCACGGCTGTAATAGCTCGTCTATGTGAGTAGAAATTCTTCTTCTATTCAACACATCTCTGAAATATATCAATGCTGGGAAGGGTCCAACAGATAGTTGTACGTGCATATAAGTTTGTAAAATGAAACTAGCTAAATTTATCCATACAATTGAAAATTTTGGTATTAAACATAACTAAATTTTATAATTATATAAATATTATAGATTTAAATTTTAAAAAAAATTAGATTTTATTATCATCATGTTTTCTTTAAAAAATGCAAAACATTTTTAAGCGTACTCTTAATAAATTATTTGAATCCCATAATTTTTTTCAAGATAATATTTTGAATCACTTCACAAAGTGAAATAGTAGGAAGAAATATTTTTTAAATAACCTTCGAATTAATCATATACAGGCATTCTATGTATGCTTAATTCTCTTCTGCTACGTGGTGATCACTAAAATTTAAAGTGCTAAGTTTGAGACCGCTTTAAATATGAAAATAAAATCTTACGAAAAATTAGAAGTTGACAGGTATGGTGTGAATCCGGATTTTTTGGCCGGCAATTAATGAGTTAAATAAACATTTTCAGTTTTAAAATTTTCTCAAACTCTTATATCAAGGCTTTGTTTGTTTTTTATACTAACCTTTTGAGCTAAATTCATTGTTTTAAACTCACATTGCAAGTTATAATATTTTTTTAAACATGCATTTTAATCATTGTCCATTTTCCATTGTAAAAGGTCAAAATGAGCAATATCTATTTTCTTTCCAAACGTGCATTTTAAGCTCTATTTTTTAAACATGCAATTTTATCAATGTTCATTTTTTGATATATCCTATATTCATCTATGCTATATTCATTTTTATAAACAAACAATTTTGAACATATCCATATTTTTTCAAACGCTAATTTTAGGTAATGTCCATTTTTTAAAACATGCAATATCGCAATGTTCCTCATACGCGCATATCAATGTTATATTCATTTTAATTAACATAAAAAAAATTTCGAGCAATATCTAATTTTAAAAACGCTAATTTTAAGTTATTTGCATTTTTTTTAAAAACTCATGTTTAGCAATGTTCATTTTCTCAGATCCACATATCAATGCTGCTTTCATTTTTATAAAAATATAATTTTAAGCTATATTCATTTTTTTCAAGTTACGTATATCCATTTTATGAAGCATGAATTTACAGCAATTTCCCTTTTCTCAGAAGCACATATCAATGCCATATTAATTTTTAAAAACAAACAATATTAAACAAAATTAAGTTTTTTTAAACTCGCATTTAAACTTTTGTTCCTTTCTTTAAAATGCACTTTGAGCAATGTCATTCTTTCAGACGCTCACGCCAATGTTCATTTTTATAAACTAAAACGAATAATTTTGAGTAATATGCAGTTTTTTCAAACTCACATTTTACGTTCTGTTCATATTTTTCAACAGGAATTTTGGGAAATGTTCATTTTATCCTACTCACACATCAATTCATTTTTATAAACAGATATTTTAAGCAATATCTATTGTTTTCAAATAAGCTTTTCAACCTCTTGCTAAATTCCTAAGATCTCATTTTGAGCAAAGTGCAAAGCAAAAAGTTTACTGACAATCTTTTAGACAATTAATTGGTTTTCCTCAAAAACATTCAAGAAAAAAAAGCAGCTTTCAAGGTTATAAATTTATATTATACCCTCCGGTAAACATGATGACCCTAATACAACAACTTTCGCCACAAGTGTCTATAATTTGCTTTTCGCATTTTTTTGTCACAAAAGTTATCTTCTTTATGTGATAGATGCTGTAACAATAACTGTTTCAAGGTAGTTAGAAATTAATGTGTGTGAGCCTGCTAATTCTTTTGACGTCAATACCTATTTTAATTTTAATTATCAAATAAAAGGTAGTAAATCTTTAGATTATCGCTTATTACTTTTAAGGGAGATTAAGGCATACAGAAGCCTGTAAAAAAATAGAAGGATTTTTAAATGAATTTTGCAACGATTGCCACAAACTTAACTTGATATATTTTTTAAATAAACGAAAAACCCTGATTATTTTTTGATCTTACGATTATTCGCACTCTAGGTCTCAATCTGAATGGCTTGAGGGGGTGACCTCAAGCAGGCTAATTAATAAGTGCAGACGATATTTTAAGTTACGATATCAGACACAAAAGCATACTTTCTCTGAATAAACATAAATTTTCTTTTCAACGGATTTGGATTTTTGACCCCCAAAATCTAGGGGGTAGCCGCAATCTGGGAAATATGGTCCCAATAGTTTGGTCAGAAGAGTGGTTCTAACTTTGGACCCCTTAATTTAATTAAAATTTTTTCGAATTTCGAAATATCTCACAAACTTTTTAAGTAAATTGGGAACTTTTCGACTGTTATAAAATTCGTTTATCTAAAGGTAATTCCGTTCAATGAAATTAACTTTAAGTAAATATTTATTATTTTTTATATTTTATTGATAATCGTGGAAAGATTCTTGAGTTGTAAGGTATATAATTTTTTACATCATTTTCAAAAAGTGTACTTTACAAAGCAAAATGCAAAATTTAAGATAAACCGGTTGAATAGTTCCTGAAATACACCAGACCGGTATTTTCAAGAGTGATCAAATTTGAAAAAAATCATACTTTTAAAATTCAATTTCTCAAGAGCTATTCATTCGATTTCGTTTAAATTTTGCATTTTCCATGTAAAATTTTGCACTTTAAAAAGAAGTAAAAAAACTTTATACTTTACAATTCAACTTTTTTCGATTATTGCTAAAGAAAACAATAAAAAATAATAAATACTTACTGTAATTAATTTTTTGCATGGATTTATTTTTGGATAAACGAATTTTATAATTGTGTGCAGAGATTTTTTTATTGGCTTAAAAAGTTCTCGAGATATGGTGAAATACTAAAAAAGTAAAATAACCATTAAGTGTTTCAAACTTTGAACCGCCC